CCTTGGGACTGGCACGCTCCCTGCCAGGCCCCAGGGCAGCACCATCCTCCCAGCCAGCGACTGTACCTCGTAGTCAACAGATATCCCGTTGGGCCAACTGATGCTGACGTTAACCAGCACCATCCGCTCGGTCCCGTCCAGGCGCGACCGTTCGATGCGGGGGTACTGCCCCCACTCCGTCCAGAACAGATACCTGCAGGGGACAGCAGGGATGTGACCACGGGGCGGGCTAGAAGCAGCATCCTTGGGCCTTTCGGCCAGCAGAGCAGAGGACAAACACCTCTCCCCCTCACCCCTCCACACCGGGGGCTCAGTCCAGACCCCCGGTGACCTGCCCGCCTGCCCGCAGACCGCGCTGCAGCTGGGGACAGGACCACCACACTGCAGCTGGGTGCAGCCCAGAAACCAGCCCGTGTGCCAGGCACGTAAGGTGCTGTTCCCCATCCTTCCCCGAACCCAAACAACTCTCCTCTCCCTGTGACTCTGGCCAAAGCTGAAGCAGGTCGGGGGAGGCTCCACGTGGATCTTCGGAGGTGCTGCCACCCACAAAGCCATGGGGAGCTCCCAGGAGGCTCAGCCCACCGGTGAAAGGGCAGTCAAACCCAGCCGGTTTGGACACCAGAGGTCTGTCTCTTGGTGTGGCAGATGATCTATAAGTCCTTCTCCACTGCGCGCAAACTGCACAGCTCTGCCAGGAGGCTGTCGGGGGTCTCTGGTACATCCCCCACCCCGCAGCTGATGGCCCTCTCTGGGCAGCTTTGTGCAGCATCTCACCCCTTCTCTGGATGGACCGTGATGGCCCGTGGCTTGTCCAGCCCCTGTGAGATGACCACATAGCGGAAGGACCCGTTCAGCCTGGCCACCTCGATGACGTCGAAGCCCTGGTCTGTCCAGTAGATGTTTCCTGCGGGGAGGGGATGGTGAACACCCGCTCCCGGGCCGCCCGCCCGCTCCTCCTGGCTCCAGAGCCCCGTCTCACCAGCGATCCAGTCCACGGCGATGCCCTCCACGCGGCCAATGCCATTGGTGACCACGTCCTCCCGCCACGTCTGGTCCCGCTTGGCT